TGAGTTCGGGTGCTGTTCGAAAGGGTGACGGCTTAAGGCCGAACTCTTGTGAATTCTGGTGTTGTTCGAAAGAGATAGCAGCTTAAGGCCAGACTCGTATGCCTGGGTGCTGTTCAAATATGGCCACGGTCTCGACGTAAGGTAAGACCATGCTCCGGCTTTGCTCGGTCTTATTTGGAGACCGACTTTGCGACTTGGGGATTCCATGGCTCGGTTCTATGTACCGAGCAGGTTATTTTGCGGTGCATTACTTCGAAGTCGGTTAGCTCGCTTGGGCAATTAGGCGGGCATAAACCGAGCACATGGATACCGGGGCGTTTGCTCGGTTTTATGTGAGTATACGATAAGATGGAGTGTCGTGGATGCCTCGCGTGTGGCGACATTTGTGCGTTTGTTCGGTTTATTGTAGCTACAACCGAGTAAATGACGAGTCACGCATAGTACTGGCTCGGTTTTCCATGGACCAAGCAGGGGAAGGATCCATATAGGGACATGCGGAAGGTGCTCGGATTTACTTATAAACCGAGCAGAATGATAGGCATAGTGTCTGCTCGGTTTCTCACGGACCGAGCAGGTGAAAGATCCACATGTTGAAACGCGGAAGGTGCTCGCTCGGTTTCTTATGGATCGAGCAGATGAACAATCCTTATGTCTCGCGTATGAAACGAGTTGTTTAATAGGCATAATGTTGGCTCAGTTTCTCATGGACCGAGCGGGTGAAAGACCCGCATATCGACACATGGAAGATGCTCCGTTTGGGCGCAGTACTTGCTCGGTTTCTCATAAACCGAGCATGTGAAAGACCGCATGATAGCATGAGTGAGGTGCTCGGTTCCTCATAGACCGAGCAGGTGAGAGATCGCCGGTTAATAGCATGAGTGAGGTGCTCGGTTCCTCATAGACCGAGCAGGTGAGAGACCGCCGGTTAATAGCATGAGTGAGGTGCTCGGTTCCTCATAGACCGAGCAGGTGAGAGACCGCCGGTTAATATGAGGAAGGTGCTCGGTTTCTTATAGGTACCGAGCGGGATGTTGTGCCTAACGCTTGCTCGGTTTCTCGCGGACTGAGCAAGTGAAGCTTCGGACATTATTGTTCGCGGACATAGGATTAGCCACGCCTCGTGTGGATACTCGAATAATGTTCGGTTTTGCTCGTGGGCTATGCATATAGATGCGGGGTTCACGCCTTGTTTTTGTTATTAATCGAGCAGAATATTTGCGGAGTGTTGCTCGGTTTCACTTATGGACCATGCTCGGTTATCTTATGGTTGTCGGTGCTCGTTTGGCCACGTATGCCACCGCTCGGTAGACACATACATTTTATCAGTAATTATCAAACGAGTCCATCGGGCTTGAAAAGCTTTGGCTCTTTTGATAATGGGGGGGCTAGATGATATGCCACATAAAGTGTGAAACGGTTCACTTGGTAGACACTCGATCCAGTTTTTATCGACAAGCCCAGTTTAGTAATGAGGCGGTCCCTGGAAGCCTTAGTGCTCGTTTTCTTCAAGGCCCTGCAGATTAGTTTACTAAGTGGGGGTTGCTCGGTCCATTCAGTGAACGCGGATTGGTGAAGAGTGATTTGCTCGGCCCATGTGGCGGCGGTATAATGGGCTCGGCCCATAAAAGAATAAGGGTAATGAAGAATTAGAGGAATGGGACGGAAGAGAGGTGAAGCGTGGGGCACAAGCTAAGCCCTCAGGTATAAATACGCAGACGAGAAATATGGTAAGGGGGAACACTCTACAAACCCTGAACCTACTTACAATTATGTAGGATTCTCTTATACTCTTCTATTCCTTACTGACTTGAGCGTCGGAGAGTTACCGCCGGGAGCACCTCCCGGCGTCATTGCAGGTCTTCAAGAGCTTGAACCGGGCGAGGAACGGAAGGGAACCGGGTTGAGGTGTGGAAGTGTTATCAGACTGAACAGACAAAAAAATAAAATAAAATAAAAAAATCGTACACCTTCCCTTCCGATTTGATTTTTTTTTATATGTTACAACGTGCTTTAATTATTAATTCCATAAGTTTGATATATTTTTTTTAACCAAAATACTATAATAAAAAAAATTAAAAAGAGAAAAAAAGAGTGTTTGGAATTGGAACCTAAAATATAATAGTATTTCATTTTAATTTTATATATCATATGAAATGAGGTTTTAATTAAGCGTGGCTCCCCAAATTGATAGGGAGACAAAAGGATCACAGGATGTCATTTCATTAAATTAATGGGACCTATAAACAATTAAAAAGAAATGCTCTCTGAGCTCAGATTTTTATCAGAGCATGTCTCTCTTTTTTGCAATTTGAACCTTTAACAAACAGTGTTTTTTATCAGTCCTCTCCTTTAGAGTGCCCTATTTTAGTATAGGCCTGCCAGCCTGCCCAGCCTATGTACAGTAATAATTGGGAAAGTTGACAGATGCAATTTAGTATGGTGTTGGGTTTTGGGCTCACAAATTTGGGCTTCCTAGGCTAAATGGGCCTCTACACCCACTTCAGTTTTTGGGCTACACTTTATGTGGGCATTTAGAGCATGTTTGTTTATGAAATTTTTTTAGTTTATTTGGATTTTTTGGTTTGGTTTGGTTAATTTTGAAAATGTGGTATGGTTAGTTGTTAGTGGGTATATTAAAATAATATTTAAAATAAAATAATTAAAATTGGTTTGATATAAAAGTATGAGAGAGAAGATGTGATGTGATTGTTAGTTAAAATAATGTGAGTGGATGAATATTTAATTAAGGTTGATGTGGTGTGTATGAATGATTGATTTATATTATTTAATTATATTGATAATATTGATGATAGTGGGGGTTGAGTTAAAGTTGAATTAAAAAAAGTAATTGAGTTAAAATGTTGAAAGTTTTTTGAAAAATTTTATAAACAAACATGCTCTTAGTGTCTGTTCCATATTTCTCTTGATTATATTTTATTTTTTATAATATTAAATATGAATGTTTTGTTCTAATAATAATAATACATTACATGACAATAAGAATATTTCATGACTCAAATCTATATATATATATAATTACTGGCTCTTCTGTATTTAATTAAACCTCATAAATTATACCTAGGTGGCATTTTCCCGCCAATTTCCGTTACTTTTCATTTATTTTCATTTTTTACTTTCTTTATTAAAAATAACTCAATTTTCTTGAAAAATTTATTGTTTTAAAAATGGCAACCAATTAATTCTGCAATTATAAGAGTTAATGAAAATGAAAATGTTCCCATATTTTTTTAAACATATTAATTACTCTCAACAATTGTCATTAATCATTTTTTTAGTCGCAATTGTTTTTTCTATGCATAGTAAATTAAACGAAATTGACGAAAACAAATAAAAAATTAAATATCAACAAATACAACCAACCAAAATAAAATAAAATAAAATAAAAAATCAGATGCTCCATCTCCGGTCAATTCATGTAAAAATAACAAAATTAAAGATCAATTAAAATAATTAATTATAATTATCAAATTACAATTCCAAAAGTTGAGATAATTACTGTTTCGAAATTATCTAAATATAAGGCAGAAATCTGAAAGTAAAAAAAGATGAGGGAATCCAAAATTTTAAAAAATTCTTTATATAATTTCCAAGCATCAGCATCCCATATTTTTTTTTCTCAAATCATTACTCTAATAATAATTAAATATTAAATATCTCATATTTTTTGCAAATCTCATCACTCATAAAAATAAATATTATTTATGGCAGGTCAAATCAACTATGCCATATTCTTTTCTCATTTCATAACTGTAATAAAAACTAAATATTAAATATTCCATATTTTTTGCAAATCTCATTACCCTAAAAAAATCTATATATGTATATAATTGCTGGCTCATGATCATTTAATAAAACCTATTAAATTATGTCTATGTGGCAATATAATTCTTTTCCTCTAAAAATCGTTAATTTTTTATTTATTTAACCTCTCATTTAATTGTTAGATAATCAACACACTAATCACTTCAAAATTACAAAATCGTTTTAAATTTTCTATTTACTTACAGTTGACCATATAATGTGTTGACTATTTAACTTGAATAGATGTTATTGTTGTGGTTACATTTAAATTAATTTCTTTTGAAAAATAAAAAACGTATTTGAAATTCCTAAATAAATAATAAATAATTCACAAAAAAAAAAGATACATACAAAAATATACATTACATCCTATATGATAAACGTAATTTAAAAAAAATAAATATTTCAGTTCATTTAATTGTAAATTTAGCAAAAATCATTAACTATTATATGCATATAAATAACTCACAATTCTTTATTTATATATGTGCAAGTGCACAGGTCGAATACTAGTTCTTCTTAAAGCTAACTTATAGTTTATAATTTTAAGTGATTTTTGAGTTGATAGCTTATAACTAATGACGACTTATAGCTGAAAAATTAGTTTATATGATTAAAGTATTTGGTAAAATTAACTGATAAGCTAGCTGAAATAAAAAATTTCAACAAGCTTATTTGAAAAGTTACCCAAATAAGTTTATAAGATAACCTCAATTGTTTTTTAAATGCCCGTCCTATAAAACGAAACTTATTTGCATATAGAAAGCTTATAAATTAATTAAATCGATTAACAAACATAGCCTTAGTATACTCTTAGAAAGCTCTAACGGTTAGACATTAAACTTTTTCTATAGAGATACATACTTTCGAAGCTGAAATGTCATACTCTAAACATCAACATAAATAAAAATACACGACATTTCATAACATAAATATTAATAATACTGATAAGAACATCTCTTGTAAGTAGCATTTGATAAGAACATATATTGTAAGTAGCATTATATAAGTAGCTCTAAGTCACACATTGCATACATAACCAATATTCCCATATTTTTCAGTAAATACTTACACAAAAACATTAATTATGATCACAAGGGGGTATCAAATTAACATTGCCACAAATCTTCTTTATTGGTTCTCTATAGATGAGTGTATTTACTACTATTGTAATGTGGTCAACTAAGAGTGCCTTTGACCACTTGATTTGGATCCAATTGACCACTACAATAGCTTGAAGAGACTGTTGTTATCTCTTGAAATCCTCTCCAAACTTCAAATGGTGTTAAGACAATTGGGTTTTCAATGGCAGCTGAATCTAATGAAACCATTCTTTTAGAGTCATTTTTGTTTTCCCCTGAATTCCATACAACTGCCAAAAAATAGCCAAGAAAATAAAATAAAATAATAATAATAGGGTATTTTTACCTATTTATTTTTTTTTTTGTTATTAAATCGACCGGAAAAAATCGCGAACAAGATATAATAAGAGTTTAACGATGCATACCACAATCGGGAAGGCCTTGTTTGTGCACGACGAACGTTCTCTTCCTCTCGTGATCGATGATTGCTACTTTCGAAGGCGTGTTTAAGTACGTACGACTAATAATCTATATAATCTCATCATCATTCAACAAAATTAAAAATAAAAAATCAGAAAAATTAATGACACATCAATCTTGTTAAAGAAAAAAAAAAACTTTTGGAATGGTAAAAAATAAAATAGAAAATATACCTCGCCATCAAAAGTAAGAGCATCGGCTTGCTCAGTAAACCTCTTCCCGTGCATTGTGTGGTCCAAGTAATCGAGCGTTTCGAGCCCTTCCACTCGCACTTCGCTAGTAAAAAGACATATCACAATACATCGCAATAAGTAGATATTTAAGCAAAGGAAATTAAACTATGTAAGTAAAAAAAGGTAATACATAATGACACATAGAAATGAACAAAAAATAACAACCTAATATCAGAAATCGATAAGCTGTTACGAGTTGCGAAAGCGAACGAAAATGACTTATTGCCGATGTTTTTCACCGAAGGCAAAAGAGTGAGCTTTCCCTGGCTGATTGATATATTAAGCCGAACCTCAAATCTTGCAAGAAAATAAGTATAAATTAGGTCCCATAAATAAAGAAAAAAAAAATCGAGCATTTTATGCAAAAACCGTGTACAAGTACTTACCTGCATGCTAGGATTTTCGAACCTTTGTCTGAGGTTCGATGTAAGAGATTAACAGAAGATAACCGGCTGTCGCCACTTGGCGCACGATCAAGAGGCTCGTTTTCTAACAACCATAATTTGTGTTTTATGTATTCGTGCTGCTCGAAAGGCTTGAAATTAGTAGCCTGTGAAAAATGAATGCATCATAAGGAGTTATTTCCTTCATAAGGACAAATCTTGAAGGAGGAGCATTCTTCGATTTTTCCAAAGTTAATCTTGGTTTTTCTGTAATCGGGCCATATGTCAAGGGCTTCTTGGTAATATTCAAAACATGCTTATACGTCGGGGAATTTATTGTGCTCACCTGAGGAAAGCTAATGGAAATTCCACCGAATAATGGAGCTTGTGACCGGTTTACATTACTCTGTAAGTCAAACAGAGGAACTAATTTTTATCGAACATCATTAAATATTCGGATATTATTATTATTTTTTTAAATCCATGGCACGTTAAAAGTCGGAAGACGAATCTTTTAAATGCATGCGAATGTTTGGTTAGTCGATCGACATGCATGATTCGACGTTGCAAGCCGAAAAATACATTAAATTGCTAAAAAAGAACCAGAGGATTTTAAGCTAAATCGCAAACGATCCAATTATTTAATTCGATATACAGTTAATAATTATGCTCTGTGATGATATACATGTTAAAATATATTCCCACTTTCTTACAATACATAATTAACCTTGCTTGTGACGAAAAGAAGCTCTTCTCGACGGTTATTCTTCCAAGACACGACTTGCCCGCTTTGCACTATTACCTGCTTTTCGATTCAAGAAAAAATTCGAGCATATTCATAAACAGATTTTACGAAACATGAACAACAAAAAAAAGGAATAAAAAATGTTCTTTTTAACCTCAACCGACGAACCACCGGGCTCAGATAAAGTGACTCTTTGATGACCATTAGCATCACTAAAAGCATCCAAAGGTAAAGGCATATGTTTAAGTGAACCGAACAATCTCCACCGTCTGATTATTCTGTTCACGATCTCTCGATCTTTAGCTTCCCCACCGTGTTTCTTTTGATCCAGCTTTTTTCATACATGCGAAAAAACCGTCGAATTTTTCGAAAATCAATAACAACATATCACAACATACATGGAGCTGAGTATTGAAGATGTTTTGTGTTTGAACAAAAAGATTACCTTTGCTGTTTTGGTATATGTTCTTTCTACAACAATCGTTTCGAAACCCAGCTAGTGATCAGCTTGGATTAAAAAAAAAAAATCAAGAAAATTACAACAACAAAAAAAAAAAAAGTGTTCTAAGTAGTAAAACTATTGATGAAATAAATAACATGAGAAAGATCAGATTTTTTTGCTTGAGGGAAAGAGAGAAAGAAGGAATAAAGGGACTTTTTTGGGTATGGGAAAAAAGAAAGGATCTTTTTTAGCAGAAAGTAGAAGAAAAGGATAGCCAAAATTTTGAATTTGATAATACATAAAATTACTAAAGAAAAGGATAGCCAAAATTTTGAATTTGATAATACATAAAATTTTGGTCTAATAAATATCTTGTGAATGTCTATTGAAAAAAAAAAAACCAGAAAAAAAAACCGCAATAATACATAAAATTTTGGTCTAATAAATATCTTGTGAATGTCTATTGAAAAAAAAAAAACCAGAAAAAAAAACCGCAATTGCATACTTGTGGTTTCTTTGTATTCTTTTAGAAATTATAACATATTATTTTAAAAGTGTGTATATTTGGTGTAAATAAAAAAAAAAAAAGAAAATTGTTGTTAAACCGTTAGGTGGATCGTCTGTCATATTATTATAACAAAAATTTATATTTTATGTGATGAAATTTCATAATTTTTGTTTTATTTATTTTGTATCGTGAGTAGAATAATGCATAAAGTACACTCGAAAGTTAATCCATATGTTATGATTTATATATATATATGTCACTATATATCTCTTGATTAAATAACAACAATAAAAAAAAATGAACATTATAAGGATATGGTGATGAAATTTTGATGGCCGAATAAAATTGTCATAATATCATATTTCATCATATTGAGATTTTGGATATCAGTCAATATGAATCTCTTCATTAATTAAAAGAACTAATTAAAAAAAAAAAATCAAGAATAATTGGATTTTTGTGAACTTTCTGTATATTGATACTTTTGTTCGATTCAACAAAATAATAACAGTAACTTTGTATGGCCCAGCAAAGAAACACAAGGAGCCCAAATTATATGGCCCAACAACAGCCCATAAAAATTGGTTTAATCGTTCTCTCACTCTCCAATCACACACACAGATCGATCGATCGATCAATCATTCCCCAACTCTAGCCCTAGATCCTCCCTCCCATGGCTGATATGCCCGCATTCGCAGTCGGAGACTCTACAGTGCCCAATCCAACCGCCGCTGATTCTGCTGGAGGCGAGACAACAAATGCGGAGATGCAGTCGCTTCCAACCATCTCCGAACTCCAATTGAGAGTTCAAAAGATCATAGATCGCCAGCCCCAAATTCAGGCCCAAATTCTGGAGACCGCGAAACTTGATGACGACACGGAACTTAATGAGGGCACGGCCCAACTGAAGAAGGACACGATCCAACTTCAAGAGCAAATGATCCAACTTAAGACCCTACTTGACACCCAACTTGGCATAACCCAACTTGGTGAGTCAAAAAGTAGAAAAATAGCTCAAGGAAAAGAAGTAAGAGGAGGAAGTAGAGGTAATATAATTAATGACTGAATGTCTAGCTGAAGTGCTTGCTAGGAGAATTGAAAAATGTTGCATCGTCTTTGCTTATTGCAGACATGGTCTGAAGTTCCTTAATTTTTGGGATTTCAGTTTCTTTTTGGTTTTTAAATGTGTGATTTCAATCTTTCTGCTTCTATGATTTTTTTTTCTTTAATTTATATTTTTGTTGCACTTCTCTGATTGTGTGATAGGTGAAATGCTACATGCATCACTGCTTTTGTCGGGTCCTGAGCACTGCCACAATAGACATTTGTTGCATCGTGATATTAAGGGTTCTAATATGCTTATTGGCGATGGAGGAATTCTTATATAGTAAAAATAGATATCAAATATTAACCCTCAGAAAAACGTCTCGAGCTCTGCTTCTGTTTGGCTGTGATATTTGGTGCGATTTTTTTCCTTTTCATTTGTGTTTATTTTGTTTTCTAACTGATGTTAAATGACTATATACTAAGTAAAAAACTTACAACGATAGCTCGGGCTTGAGTTGACCAATCTAAGCTGAGAACTAGGATTA